AAGGCGGGATCCCCATCGGCCGCCCGCCCGCACACAGCCCTAGGCCGGGCACTTCCCAACACCCACGAGTGGCCAGGATTGCTGCCCGGTGCTGCAGAAAGCGAGCCCAGCGGTGGAGAGAAGTGTCCGGGAGGTGCCGGGCATGCTGCTGCCCGTCTGGGCACCACTGCACGGCCAGGCTGCAGGGAAGGGTGCAGGGACAGGACTGGAGCACTACTCAGCTGCGATGGATGCAGGAGGGGAGCAAAAAGCATTAGGGTTACAGCAAGTGGTGCCACCAGCGCTGGGACCCAAGATGTCCAGCTCGTTGCAACCTGTCAGTCACCACAGGAGCCTGAATGGCCAGGGCATCCCCCTCACCCCTGCCAAGCCGCTTGGGACCCCAAGCCCACAGTCCCAGGGATCGCACAAGCAGCTGGGCAAGCAAGGGTTGGTCAAAAATAGAGGGAGTCACCTCCCTGGTGTTAAATCCAACTTGCAACAGGGGAAATCCACGTTTCACTCCTTGATTCTTGTCTTCTTGGGGCCCCGGTGCCTTTTCACAGCGTTTCGCTGTGGTAGCCAAACCCAGCCTCTCCCCAGCACCCACCAGGACGTGCTGGTCCCGCGGGGCTGGAGCCAGCCCAGCCACGCTGCCGGGAGCTTGCCGCTCCCGCTCCTCGCTCCTGCCCGCCTGCAGCGAGAGTAAGTGGGGCACGGCACAATTTCTCATACAGCTGCTAACAACGTCGTCCCCTTGCTCTTACCAAACGTTTTCATAGATAAAAATTTTTTTAATAGGGAGGTTGGTGCTGGTGCGAGGGAATTTTTGCTTTCTGCTTTAATCTCTGTCAACTTGTGGCTAATGGAAATTATAATTCAACCAGAATTGCACTAGAAACACAGCATTTCCATTTCCTCCACGCCGCTGTTAAACGACACGACGTCAAACTGTGCTTGATGCATAGGAAACTTCCCAAAAGTGCGTGTCTTCTGTTGAAAACAAACCGATTAATTAGGCAGAGACAGCAGTGGCTGGAGACGGGGAGCTGAACTGCTTGTTTCTGGTCACCATGTCCTCGGGGAGGGGGGGAACATCAGGCCCAGCAGGTCTCATCCTCGGATGCTTTGTTTTTATTCACCGATGAGAGATGGGAGGATAAAGCCCCCAAGGTTTCTTGCTGTCCTCGGTCCCCATCCTGCTTCTCGGGGTGCAGGAAGGTCTCGCATCACTCTCCACCCGTTCTGCTTCTCGTGCTCTTCCCTAGCCCCCTGCTCCTGGAGGTGGGACAGCAGACGAGCCGGCTGCTCCAACCCAAGCATCCGTTTCCATCCTGGGCCTTCCCAAGCAGGTTAATACGGACACGACCTGCTCTTGGGGCTTCACTGAGTGACCTATCTCAGGATCTAGAGGAGTAGAGAGGAGCCTGTTATGCGACCTCAGCAACACCGGCATCCTGACCAAGTATTATTTTTAATGCAGTGTAAAATATATTACTGGAGTCAGTGGTTTTAAACAATGCTAACAATAGCCGTAGGATTTGATGCAGGCTGTCCGAATTCTACATTCACTGTAGGCACTCACACTACACACATTACATGAAATAACGCAATTACTTTACAGCGGCAGCATCAACACCAACTTTTACCCACAGGAGGGTCATGCCACCTGGACCGGGAGATCCCTCCATCACCGCCTCTCTCCTTCACGCTGCCCCAGCTCCCTGCAAGCCCCGTCCTGCTGGGCACAGTGACACAGGCCCGCAGGATGCGGCCCTTCCCGAGCCAAGCCCAGTGCCCGGCCCCAGCCGATGGCTCCCCATGCCCCTGCTCTGTCTCCTGCTTTGAGCACAGAGGATCCGGGCGGGCTCGGTGCAAGCAGGGATGCCGCTTGGCGGCTGGGCGTGTGATGCCCCTGCAGACCCTGAGCTGACGGGAGAGGCTTCGCGTGGCCGTCCCCGGGCGCTCGCCCAGCGCCGCAAAAACACGTGCATGGTCGGCAAGGGAAAAAATCAGGCTGACGCTGCAGCTGGCGAGCGACCGGCCCAGGCAGGTCCGGGCAAACGGCGCAGTGCCCGCGGCCAGGTGGGCGGCCCCACGGCTCCTCCTCGGCAGGGAGGCGCGGGAGAAGGGAACCCCGCGGAGGGATGCCCCAGCTCAGCATCCTCTGCCGAGGCCAGGTCCCCGGCCGGGGGCAGGACAGAGCTGGCCAGCGCTACATGGAGCTGCCACGAGAGCTCGGGCGAGGAAGCAGCTCCAGGTAGGCAGGCGCCCGGGGAAGGGAAGGCGAGTGCTCTGCCAGTGACTCACGTACAGCCCGGCGCTGCCCAACCCTCCGCCTGCCTTCTCCTCCGCTTTCCCTGCCTGCGAGCTGCCAGCCCCGTGGGGAAAGCTCTTCTGGTGCGCTGCCCAGCGGGTTCGCTGGAGTAGGAATGGTTAAACCCTAACCAAGCTCCCAGAGCTGGGGAATGTCAGGTTTCCCAAGGAGCCAAGAACACAGCGGGCACCTCACGGAGCCAGTACAGCCAGGAGAGAGCAGGACACCGTGAGCTGAGACCAGTGCCGGCCAGGGGACACACAGAGCCTTCCCTAGTGTCTGGCAGGGAGGAAAGCCCCTGCCTGCACTCCTCTCGCTCCATCTCACCAGCAAAGAGCAAAGAGCTGCTGAGGACAAAGGTGGAGCAGCGCCGGCATCTCACTCCCACACCTGTGGCCACCGGCAGGGATTGGTGCTCCCCGTCCCAGAAAGGAGCCGTCCCCGGCCAGGCAGCGAGCACGCTTTTTGTGCACGCAGAGAAGCTCAGCAACGAGGCAGGGACTCCAGAGGCTAAAAAAAATATGATAAAAATAAATGAAGAAACAGGGCTTGAAAGAGGCCGCAGGGTTACAGCTCAGCCAGGGAGCATCCTGCTCCTCCCAGCAGCCCGCGGCGAAGAAGAGGGGATAGCCCTGGTGTAAAGGCTGTCGCTGCTTCCCGGCATGCACTGTGCCTGCTGCTTCCTGGCTGTCTAACGAGGCTTTAAAGTGTAAATAGCGGCATTGTTTCGCAGGGCCGCCTCGCTGGGGTGTGGGAGCCGCGATAGCTGCAGGAAATCCATCTTCCTGGGAGGGTGCTATCCAGGGGGGTGCTATCTGGAGCCGGGTGCAGGGCAGCATCTCAAATCGTTCGTGTGGCTTTGCCCGGTGACGGTGCCTGGTGTCGGGGAAGCTGGCAGGGCTGGGGGGCAAACAGGGAGAAGTATCCAGAGCGACTGGGACAGGCAGAAGCACACGGAGCAGTCCGCACAAACCTGCCTTCACCTCTTCTTTCTCCTCTTCTTCAGAGTGGAGGGGATGGAGCGAGGCCAGTTGCAAACCCTGATGTTGTTATTAAACTGACAGGAACCCAGGCAGCTTGCACACCAAGGCATGGCCGGAGACATACTCGGCGACAATCTCAACTTGCAGCATCCCCATTGGCTTTGAAAATGCAGAACTGACCCAGCCAAAGCTCCCGGGAGGCTGGGCTGTCCAGGGAAGAGGAGACCGTGGGACGATGCTACAGACTCAGCCGCATCCAGAGACTGACCCAGGCCAGCACGCCACTTGGCCCTGACCCGCACGGAGGCGAAACCCACAGCAGTGCCTGCCCTGCTGGGCGCAGGGATTGCCCTCTCGCTTTTCTCAAGCCACACATCTGAGCCGGCCACAGAGCTTATCTGGACCAGGAGCTGCCTCCCTGCCCGCACGACGTGGCCGTGGACAGTGTCCCCTGCGCACAAGGTGGCGGGGAGGGACGCGTGCCCCAGCTCCAGGTCGCATCCTGCGACATTAGTGCAAAAGCCCCCTGCTGCAGCACACAAAACAGCCTGGACCAGAGGGTGCTCCTCTGTACTGACTGGCTTGCAAACTCAGGGGACAGCCAGAGAAGTAATAATTAGCTGCAGCTAATTATTACAAAGTGACAAACTTGATGCAGGCTGCGAGGCAGCACTGTCCAAAAAGCACTGGGCGAGGAGAGCCTGGGCCGGGACGCGGATTTGCGGGTGGAGGCTCAGAGCGGTCCTGCAGCCTCCTCTCTGCCGGAGCTCAGGTTCTCCCGGGAAGGCGTCCTGCAGGGCTGGGTACTCAGCAGGGCCCCCGGGGGACCCCACTGCCCTGCAGCAACCCCAGGGATGGCAGGAGTCTCCCCCTTCCCGTTTTGGCCCTCAGATGATTCAGACACGTGGACGGGGATTTCTCCGGGAGGGAAAACAGGAGAAGAGCACACCCTGCCAATTGCAAAACAGCATGAAAATTGAATCACGTCCAAGGCTGCAAGCCCCAGATGCAATCCCACAGATAACCCAGTTTCAGCTCCACTACTATCAACTTACCACGAGGCAGTCATTTCCTGCGACTCTCGGGGAAATATCCCACTGTCCCTAATTACTCCTTTGGGCTCGCCGTCTCAAAGACGATCCGTAATCAAACACTGCCGGTTTCAGCCCCAGGAACACACCTTTCACATTTTCGTCCGCTCTCCCTCTCTACCCAGACCCCTCCATCCCGGGGCTCTGCCACCCCGCGGGGCTCCTGCAGCGGCCGGGCTCCCATCCCTCCCGCAGCACACGCTGCGGCAGCACCGGCAAACAAACGACACGGTGTGGGAACCACAGGCCTGGAAAAAAAACCCTCATCAGCATCCCGTGAAAAAAAGCCCTGACAAACTAGAATTTTCATTTTCAAAGGTTTTTTAGGCTCTGCGGCAGCAAGGAAAAATTCGCAGCCATAGCCAACCACGGCGACGGCCCTGCAAAGCCTGCAGCCAGCATCTTTGCTCCTGCTCCCGGCTCCTTGCCCGCCACGCACATGGTGGAGCAAAACCACACGGCTCTGCACAGCATTGTGGGGCTGCTGCTTGGGGCAGCCCTCCGCAGGGACAGGATCTGCATGGGAGGGCTGGAGCAGAGAGCCGCAGGGCCGGCAATTGGTGGCAAGAGGCTGAGGTCTGTCCCTCTGGCCGCAAAGGGGGATCCCCAGGCTGATCCCCCGGACCCGCAGGACCCCCAAGCACCGCCGCCTCGGAGCGCGGGAGGCTGTCAGCTCCCACGTGGCGCATGGAGATTCACGATCCCGGGATGCAACGCTCCACCTCACTCCCCGCCACTGCCAACGGCGCCGAGTGCTGCACGCTGGGACGCGTAGTCTCCGGAGACGGCGGCCCTGCCGCCGACAGCTGCCTCGCTCCATGTTGCATCCTAGGTGGAGCCCCACGGCCCTGGCAGCCGGCCAGCCGCCCGCTCCGGGTGGGGGAAAAAAGACCTGGATCACTCCTGCTGCGAGGATGAGGTGGGAGCTGGCGCCTTCCAGCTGGCCGCACTGGGCGGTGCGTGCCTGGGGCGCTGGGGCGCAGTGCTTGCTCCAAGGGCTGGACCGCTCGCCGTCTACTCCAGCAGGATGCCCGCGGAGGGGAGGGACGGTGCAAGCGTGGTGGGAATCTGCTCGCTGCAGCTTGTAAAGTACCTCCATCACTTCTTCGAACTGTCAGGGCAAGCCTCTGCCCCCACCAGCTCAGGCTGAACTTCTCTCTCTTTAGGACTTGGTTTAAGAGGCAATGCGGGAGCGGCTGAGCAAAGGACGGGGCGGGCCACTGGCAGTGCTGGGGACAGAGCAAACGCTTGCGGTTGCTGGACTCGCACTGCGCCGCTGTGCTGGCAGCACATGCTGTCGCTGGCGTCAGGGCTTTGGATGACCAGCGCAGGATGGGGCCAAAACCCCAGGGAGCGGAGGGACAGGGTACGGCCGAGCACACCTGCCTGGTGCTCCTGAGGCACGAGCAACCCAGGCCAAGCTCCCAGCCCCAGCAGCACAGCGCTGTAAAAAACATCTCCACCATCTCAGCAGAGCCCCGGGGAAACCCTCTTGGCCGGGCATCCCTGGTCGCAATACCAGTCCACCCAAAACAACAGCAACTGGTGGGGCACCAAACCTCAGACCGGCAAGCGCTGCAACCCACGAACACACATGCATTCGGTGCAAACAACAGCGGGAGCACCCTGTCCCCGGGTCGCTGGGAGGATGGGAGCTTTCCAAGGGAGAGGGCCAGGAGAAGCGCTGCGGCTGCTCTGCCACCACGCAGGACCTGGGCTTCATATTTTTTAGGCAGACCTCAGGTTCACGGCGGTGCAGAGCTGCAAGCACGCGGAAGGCTGGGACGCTGGGAGAGACCACTCGGGAACAAGCGCTGCTGCCGCCCTGCCGGCCGCGGGACAGGGAAGGGGCCCTGGGGCTGGGCTGGGCCACCTCGCCCTCCGCTCCCGCATCTCCAGGGGCTGGGGAGGCTCGGGGCTGCCAGCTGTCATCACTCTCTGAAAAGAAGCTGAAAGAAGCTCCAGGTCCTCAGCCCCGGGCGCCTTTGCTCACAAGTGAACTTCTGCAGCTTTTCACTGGCCTCTTCCTATTTTACATGGACGGTGACCTGCAGCGGGCAAGGGGAGAAGTCCCCACCAAATGACAGCGAAAACCCTGTATCACCAAACCCTCTGGTGCTGATCCACCCTCGGATCACAACTTTTCTGTCCCTTTTTGAAGCAACACAGCTTGCGTGTTTTACTGCTCGGCGCTTCTCTCCCTAGTCTTCACGGCGTGCTCGGATCACAGACCTGGGATTTCTACAAAACCAGGAGGGCAGAGACCACGTTTGGTTCTCCTTCAGCACAAACCACTATTCTCCCACAACAAGAACACTCCGAAACCTGAGGCTTTAAAGAAGGAATAAGGACATCCAAATTTGCCTGTACTTACAATAGAAGCAGTAAGAGCTGATACTTGACCCGCGCTGCAAAGCTGCCAAGCCAAGGTGCTATCGAAAGCACGGGAAGAACAAACCGGGGAGACCCTGGGAAGGGGTGTTTGCTCCCATGCCTGCCTGACCCGCCGGGCACCCACGAGCCGGCTCAGATCCTCCTGGTGAGAGGGAAGCAGCCGGGGGCTTGCGACGCAGGGTGGGTACACCGCTCCGTACCCCAGAAGGCGATTCCCCGTGAGACCCCACAGCCTCTGAGCCCTTTGCTCGCATCTCACCCAGGGACCAGTTGCCACCTCTCGTTCAGGCTCCTGCTGCGGCACCAGCCTTGGCAGAGGCCGGTGGCTGCTCCGTCAGCTCCTGCTGTGGTGCCTGGCCCCTGCCAGCTGGGGCTGCAGCAAGGGGATCGGGAGCTGCCCGAGCCGAGGAAGAGGGGGCTGGCCCCCAGCAGCGCTGCCCCGGGATGCTTATCTTATCGCCCATCCCGGGCGGGT